GACAGACAGACGGATGGGGGGACTGGACAAAAGGTCGAGCAACTTTCACGCCGTAAATAACACGCGGGGGTATTCGCCAGAGACAATTCTAAAATTGAATTGTGCCCGTGGAATGCTGTTTGACGGCTGCTGCTACTTACTGCTACCCTGTAACGAAGGTTGCTGCAGGCAGAAGGGTACCTTGGGTACCTAAGGGGGTACAGCAACCGACAGCAATGTTTTGAATATCGTTCAGAGCCAGAGAAAAACCAAAAGAAAAGTTTTAGTGATAAACGATTTTTCTTCATTTTGGCTTATTAAAAAATAATTCAATTGCCAAGGACTTTTAAGTATTTACTGGATAAGTTTCTCATTTCTCTTTTTTTTCTTTTTTTTTTTTTGTATATTTAAAAATAACTTTGAATGGATTTAAACGTCTCTGCCTCTACGTTTCTACCCGGAGCAACTCTGGCAGGAAGCACGTCCTTCCATAGAGGGTTTCAAGAAGTGCCCCTACGTCATTTAGCAGTCTGAAACGTGCTTGGCAGAGGGTATCCCATGCTTCGTATTCCTCCTCTGGTAGCCATATCGTTTTCCTATCGTTTTCTTGTTTAGTATTTTGTTAATTGACTCGTAATTAGACGCCAGCAACGGGCACAGTGACGGGGGGGAGGCGGCACACGCACAAAAGTCAGTGACAAACGAATTGAATGTTGAATCGAATGTTGAATCGTCGATTGGCGGGGCAGTGGCATTGCCTTGGGGCTGGGTACACGCCCCAAACTGAATGTTTGTCAATGATTTATGTTTGGATTGCAATAAAAGAGGAGAGGCAGCGGCTGCGGCAGCGGCATGCCCGACGGTCAGGATAGATTCCCGCCATTCGACCCATCGGATATATATGCCACAGAATTATGCACAGACGATGTTTGTCCATCAAAAATATCTCGTGTATTTGTTCAGTTTCTATTGACAAAAAAAAACACACACAAACAAAAGATGAAAAACAAAACACAAAACACACACGAAATGCGCGGAAAGTGAAGGTGTTGGGGATGATGGTCAAAAAAATAAATAAAAAAAAAAAAGGAGGGGGGATACATATGTATATACAACATTTATGTGGTAGTTATAATGGCATACTATAATGAAGCATTTATGCAAATTCGTGACAACTTTTCACACACCTCGCCCCCTGCCTGACAACCCAGCCCGCTCTCTTGGACTGTCACTTTCCCATTGACGCAACCGCGAAAGAGAGAATGGAGAATGCCAGCGAAAGAGAGAGAGAGAGAATGTGTTGTTGACCCACCGCAAAAATGACAAAGCAGCCAAAAGCCCCACCACAAGACTAAACAAGACATTAAATTCAATTTTTAATACAAATCTCTTTAAGACTGCACACAATGACTCTTGAAAGACTGAAGAAAGACCAAAGAAAATAGTTTTCAAGAAAGAGTTCTGTCATGATCATTATTTATTTATTTTATTTTATTTTTATTTATTATTATATATTATATATTTATTTATTTATGAAAGGAAACATCAAATGACATTCTGCTGCAATGGAAACTCCTATCAATGAAATCCAATAACTCGCAGGCAAGAAAGAGTTAATAAAATGCAAAAGGAACCTGCAAAAAAGTGAATCCGCATGAAGGAAACTACAAACTTCTATGCTCTCAATAGGCATATAAATACTGATTCCGCACACATGCATTTCGGTGTCTTTTCTTTTATTTATTTAATTTAATAAATGTTTTCCTTGCTTTGGGTTGCATAAGTCTTACGTTTATAAATCTTTGACTTACTTGCCTTACATTTTGCTGTCAATATGTAACTCGACAGATGATTTGGGCCCCTAATTGTTGGTCCCAACAAAAAGAACTCAAAGGCAGTTCCTCCCTCCGCTTCAAACGAAGCTGAATCTATTGGTCAAAGAGCGGTGTTCACTGTGCTTGTAGATTGCCCAATCTAAGAGTTATGTCAGTCTCTGTTTCTCTGTGTCTTTCTGTGTTTGTCTCTGATTTATGCAACTAATCTGTGGCACAACTTGAATTCGTATTTGCCGTTGCAAGCGCACTTTCAACTTTGCTGCCACTTCAATCGTCAATCCTCTTTTGATTGCACTGCATTAAATTGATTTCTGCTGCTGCTGCCGCAGCTGCTGCCATCTTTCATCTACCATCTTGCCCCATCATCATCATCCTCATCATCTTCTTCCTCATCTTTCCTCATCGTTTTGATGCCGTTGCCATTGCCATTGCTGTTGCTGTTGCTGTTTCTTTTATTAGCGCGCATGATTGGCATTTCTTCTGGGTCTCTCGATTCGATTCGATTCATTTCGTTTGCTCTCCGCTCATCAGTTTATTTATTTACTATACTCAACTCTTTCGACTGTTTACTGTGATTACTTCACTCGCCCAGACCAGGCCAGCACTTTGACAGCGCACAACCTAAAAAATCAGACAATAGAGAGAGAAACAAACAGACCCTTGAAGAGCCTCGATAGATGTGCATCGAGGGCACACGACTGACTCCTTCTAACTGCTCCAAAGCCATGGAAATCATTGCAATAAAATGACTTCGCTTCCCTTAAACATATTCGATATGATCCATAGGCTTTGGTACTCTCCAAAAGGCGGCATCGAAATGGTTTAAGGTAAAGAGTTCCATGGCCCCACAGCGCATCATGGCCCTATTCTTCCTGCTCATCATACCCTCGCATTTCCAGGGTATAACAACAGCATTAGCTTCACCTCTTTGCGCCGCAGTGGAAATTGATTTCCACTTCCGATGGCACCAACTACTGCCGATGTAAGCCCCTTATGTGACACATTTACCATTCAGAGGCATTCGATCAGAGACACGGCGGACCCACAATGGGTACATTGCATAAGCGGATCGCAGTGGCATGACGACGCGACGCGAAGAGTGACTTTCCACAAAAGTTGCAAAAAAAAAAATCTTTGGTTTTTGTTTTTTGGGTCGCAAAATTTTCGCTTTCGTTTTCGCTATAGAAACAATCGCACGAGTCATCGACCACAACAACTAAACAGCGGAAAATGCCACAAGAGACATTCACTTTTTTTTTTTTTAGATAAATTTTGGGTGCATGCCACACGATCTCTGCAGATGCAGAGAGATCTGAAGGGAATGGCAAACGATTGGCCAACAATTTTCAGTTAGCATTCGGATTTATCCGATTTATATATTTGCTGTACCTTTTTACTGTTCTAAAATTATAAGCATTCTCTTGGTAAAAGATCCGATCCCTCAGATCCGAAGGTCTGCTGAAATGGCGGATTTATGTGTGGATAAAATCGGTAGATGACCTCACTAGGTTCTGGCGACAGAAATAACTTCCCGAAAACTGATTTAAAAATTTTTAGAAAATCCCTGAGAATCATTTCGGTTTAAATTTTTTTTTTCTTTGTGGTTTAACCGATTTTTTCCATGGCATTATCTGCCCCAATCCCCCCTTCTTTTGCTCTTCCATTCCATCATTTCATTTCGAGAACAAAAAGCCAAAGGCCTGAAAATTCTTTCTTTTTTTTTTTTTGTTCATTCGCATTTCATTTTTCAAGAGTCTGTCCGTCCGCCCCGCCCATCTGAATGTCCGGCGGAAGTGGCTCGTTGGCGAGTGAAGAGAGCACGGGCTTTGGCGAGCGCGTTGTGCGGCCTTTTGGCTTGCCTTTTCAATAGTATTTTTCACACTTGTGAAAATTAAAACTTAACTGAACATTTTTGCTGTTGTTTGTCGCTGCTTGCCCCCCCCCCCTGCCACCGCCACACTGCCGCCCTCCACAGTCGTTTTATTGTTTTAATTACACGCGTTTTTCCGCGCATTGTTTCAATGACCGTCACGCGCCACGCCACAAGCCTCTTATACCCGCTGCCGCTGCTGCTGCTGCCACACAGCCTCTGCCTCAAAGCCCGGCAAACAGTTGTCGCTGCTACTGCGCTGCCTGCCGGTGCTGTTTGTTTGCAAAATGAAGTGGTCATATCTGTGCCCCTGCCAGACCCTTGTGGCCATCCCAGAGCCCTAGATCTGGCAAAAGCAACGCCCAAGCCAAGCATTAATGATAATTTCAAAATGACATAAACGTAGCACAGCCAGCGAGGCGCAGAGTCCTCCGGTTAGCCTAGAGATGGCACTCACGGCCGTGCTTCACGAGAGATTCACTAATGCCAGAGCCGTGAAATACCAAAAATAATAATAAACAAAAAAAAAATAATAATTAAATATGCGACAAATTTTAAATATTGATTTCTAATTATGTAAATGTTTGGCGGTCATCTCATAATATTATGAAAACTAAATATTTAATCACACACACGCAGAGACAAATACGTAAAACGAGCGCGGGAAGCAAACAAAACAAAAAGCAAAATTCCAAAAATCACTGGCGGTACCACGGGCGGTTTTTACGCGCCATTGCTGCATTAGCTATAGCCAAGCCAAGCCACAATATAGCAAAATTAAGAATAATATATAAACAATATAGCAAGCCAATATAGAAGAATGCCATGCGACAACTCTGTGTGGGGGGACCGAAAACATAATAAACAATAGCAAGCCAATATAGAAGAATGCCAAGCGACAACTCTAGGATGTGTGTTAGTATTGGGTGGTGGCTGGGATGGATGGCACACGCACACGCACACGAAACAGCTGACTGAAAGTATGAAATCTCTCTGTCGGTGTTTCTCTGCCTGCACACGTATACTTGTCTCGCTCACACTGTTTTAGAGTTGTAGCAGTTGTTGAAGTGTTGTGGAAGGCCCGTGTGCATGTTCACAGCACTAGATCTAGTTCTTCGTTCTTTCGTGCCAACTGGAACCAAGCTCGTGTGTGAGTTTGCTGTCACAATTTAGTTTTCCTTATGGAGAAAAACACAAGTGAAAATCAATCTGAAATCAAATATTGGTGCGTGCGGATCTAAAAAAAAAAAAATTCAACCGGAAAATAAAAAGTGCGAAATAAGAAAAAAAAAAAATTTGAAAAAAATTTAACAAATTGAAAAATTGAAAATTTTTGAAAAAAAAATTGTCGGAAAAGTAAGTCCGAAAATCAAATTCACAAACAATTTGTGTGTTATCCTGCAACATCGTGCGCGCTTTTCGTTCTTTTGTGCTTTTTCTGTGCAGGCGCGTTGCTGCCCCCCTTTGCTGCTTTCAAGTGTTGGCGTGCAGAAAAATTGCAAAATACAACCGCAAGATAGAAAATCCTTTTAGGCTGCGAATTAATAGCAAAATCTGAATAATTAAGTACAAAAGGTAAGTCCCAAAATCCATTAAACCCAATTTTTCGTTTTTTTTTTCCTGTCATAAGATTTTTTTAGGTTAATTTTTTTTTTTTTTGCTTTCTGCTCTTTCCAGACACGTCTGTGTCATTGCTGCTTGCAAGTATTGGTGTGTGGAGAAGTAGTTGTAAGCACAACCTGCATATAGAACAGCGTTTTAAGCTACGAACCAATACCAAAACTGATCAACTAGTCCCAAAGGTAAGATTTTTATTATCTTATATTTATTTTTTGTATTTTGCTGCAACATTTTAAGTTCCTTTGGTTAATTTTTTGTGTTGGTTTTTTTTTTTTTTGGTGCAGACGTCAAACGTCATTTCTCATTTCTGCGTACAGTTTGAAAAAAAAGAAAATTGAAAATGTCTGGAACTGCCGTTGCTAAATTGTCTGAGCAGCGTAAGTCCTGGCGCAAGGATCATCCTTTTGGCTTTGTGGCCCGTCCCTGCAAGAAACCTGATGGCACTTTGACCCTTTTCCGCTGGGAGTGCGAGATCCCTGGCAAAAAGGGCACCGACTGGGAGGGTGGCGTCTACAAGCTAATCATGCACTTCACAGACGATTTTCCATGCTATCCGCCGATCTGCAAGTTTGAGCCTGCCCTTTTTCATCCGAATATCTTTCCATCGGGCACCGTCTGCCTGTCGCTGCTGAACGCCGACCAGGGCTGGCGCCAGGACACGAGCATCAAGCAAATCCTGCTGGCCATCCAGCAGCTGCTGGACGAACCAAACATTGTTGACCCGGCCCAGGCCACTGCCTACACCATTTACAAGTTCAATCGCTTGGAGTATGACAAGCTCGTGCGTGGCCAGGCCCGTGCCATGACCCCTAAAGCTGAAGCTGCAAACGACGCCAAAGCTGAAGCTACAACCGATGCCAAAGCCAAAGGCAAAGCCGAAGGCAAAGCCGAAGGCGAATCTCAAGAACAGCCATTAACCAAATCAAATGATTAAACTACAAATATAATTATACTAAAATTTAATATTAACGAAATTGGAGTCTGCGCTAACATGCAAACAGAATATAAATAAAGATTCCATTTCGAATAGAATACATAATTCCTGTAGTGTGTAAAAATTGCACTGAACTCCCACAGCATGCCGCGTTCAGCATTTGTGCCTGTGTGAGGCTGCTGCCACACAGTAGGCCGTTTTCAAGCAGCATTCAATTGTCAGTGGTGCTAGCTCGCTTGTGCAAACGTTAGCAATGGACGAAATGCTATGACTCGGCAACATTCTGGAATGTAGCATGGAAATTCGTTATTATCCAGCATAGCTATTTAAAACAAAACAAATAGTAGATACTTTCGATATATCGGGGTTGGCTTTGGATTAATTATTAATTAAATAATGAAATAAATTAAATAATTAATTCGTTAATAAATAATTAATTATAAGTCTTTTGAAACAAAAAAGAAAATTATATATATGTATGTACAAACAAGTAAACTTCGAGTTTGCTATCGATATCGATAGGCGTTTATATTAGCAGATGAGTATTGCGGCAGAATAGCTGATCGCTGATTTGTGTGGTTTAAAGTCGAGGAAAGCAACCAAATTTTGGAAATAAATAATATTGTTGAAAACGTAAGAAACTTGAGGCGCACATTTATTTATTATTTTCAGCCATTTCTTAGCAGAGTTTGTGTGAATCCGCTCGGCCCCCCCAAAATGTAAGTTATCATTAAATTAAGAAAATAATATTTGCACAAAAAACAATGTTAATTGGTTTTTGTAATTTTTAAGATTTCTGCTCGTTTTTTTACAGCTAAAAATTTTTTAAAAATCCCACTCCAATCCGCAGATTTTTATGGCTGAGGATCCTTTGGGAATCACGACTGCTGCTGATGCTGCTGCAGGCCATCTCTAGGCATGCGACCAGCGCCGACATCACGACATCCAACGACAGCCGACAGTCGACTCTGGCATTGTAATCAATGAAGTGGCGGGCCGCAGTGTCGTCCACGGGGGCGATCCGCGCGATAAATGAAATAAATGAATGGCCGTTTCCACCGCTCTCCCTCTCCCTGTCCCGCTTCCTCCCTCGCTAACTATGTCGTATCTGCCCCTTCCTCTCTCTCTGTCGTGTTTGCATTTTAATGCCTTAATGAAAAATGCATTTTTAATTATTTTTTGTTCATTTACAGGCAATCTTTTTTTCTCATTTTTTTTTTTTTTGCTGCTGCTGCTGCTTCATTCGTTCGTTGGCCTATGCGGCGTATGCGTAATTTATCGTGAGCTACATTTATTTCTTCCTCCTCATTCTCAGTCCCTACTCCACCCACAACAGCTCTCGCACCTGCCTGTCTCTGTCTCTCTCTCTCTCTCTCATTCTCTCTTTTGTTGCACTTGCAACTGCCGTTAGCGACGAAGGCGTCTCGGGTTTCCCTTGCAAAACAAAACAAAAAGTTTCCAAGGGTTGCCTGCAAGTCGAAGCTCCATTGCTCTTCTGCTCTTACGTACAGATTCTGCTACAAATAAAATACTTGCCTTTTTCGTTATCAAAGCGAAACCCTCTAGCAAGTGCACACATGCCCGTCCAGAAGGGTAGGGCATAAGCAACGGTACCTTTCGACGAGGACAAATATCGTATTTCATCATTTGTTTAAGCCAAGCCATTGATTCGCTCAGGTTGCCACCGACAGAGAGACAGAAAGCCCCCAGCAGCAGGAGGGAGGAACGGGGGCTGCTTGCCATTCATTAGGATAGCATGTCATTCATTAGCCACTCCCCACCCTCCCTACCATGCCCACCACACACACAAGTTGCACCTTGGTCTGAGGCGCCAACGGGTGACAACGAATACAGCGGAAGCAAATATGTGACGGAGAGCTGTCATCGGGTTTCAAACCAATTTGTTTAACTCACTTAACCAGAGGGAGAAGAAAGAGAGAGAGGAGAGGCATGTGGCATGGTTAAAAGAACCTTTGCAACATGCAATCGAATGACTGATTCGATATATACATATAGAAGCGTGGGAACAGAGCAGAGCAGAACAGAACAGTAGCTCAAAAGAGTAGAGTGCAAGTTGCCATCCATGTCACATTGGCAGCGAATACTCTTTGCCCATTGCTGTGTGCGAGTATCTGTGAGATACGTTTTTTTTACTCATTTGTATCTTTGTGCACAAATTGAATTGGAAATGAAAACTCCATTAAATTAGAGCCTTAGCTAGGGGCCGGATCTTTGAGTTCTGTGCATTCTGTCAGCATGCGCAGATACTTAATTGCAATGGGGCAGCCACCATCAGCAAAGATACATTTGCGCCTCCTGCACGAAAAACGTGCGATTATCTTTTGCTACTTGGGGGGCATTGAATAGGTGTAGTAAATTTTTCTTGATATTTCTTGGGGCATTGGATAGGTGCACATTTGCTTGATATTTCATCGTATTATTATTATGCAAGAAGAGGTTGTATTTTGTATTTCGTACTGACTCTCAAATGGCTCTCATCCGCCCCACACCTTTAACCTGGTTGGGGCTCAGCCATCGCAGATAAACCTTCTTTTTTTTCCACCCTTGAATTCCACCCATAAATCGCATGTAATCCACATTCAACATTCAAGTCCATTCAAAGTTCCCTCCCCCCATCAGTTGTTTCCCCTCACCCATTTCAGACAACAATTTCGTGACGGAAACTCCCTTCGTCTTTGGCCACGCTCGTTCGGCTGTGTCGCCTCTTTTGTTGCAACAATTGCAACATGATTGCCGCTTTGAAAATTTACATCTAATGCCGCAGATTGTCGTCGTGTCAATAAAACGGATCAAAATGAATGAAGATGGAGTGGAGTGGGGAGTGGGGAGTGGAGTGGCAGGCGTGGTGTTACCTCCTCCATTCATGTTGCAACATCGCTGTGGCAAAGTCAAGTCTTTCTTGCTCTCTCTCTCTCTCTCTCTTTGTGTTTCTCTGTTTCCACGAATCAAGGGGACCAAAGAAAATGTAAATGTAAATGAAAATGAAAGTTTCAATTACAAATTGGTCGAACGACAGAGAGACGACTCTGGGATGGTGGGGAGACTCCACTGAGACGCCACTGGCAGCGTCGGAGTCGACGACGCGTGCAAAATTGTCTCATTTTTGGACGGGGGCACAAAGTGAAAAGAAAGAGACATTTAATTACTGGTTTTTCCGCTTCAATAAACGCCGCGAAGCGACGACCGCGACATGATTTTGAAGGTGAATGACGCCGCCGCCAAAGTTGCTGCCGCTGTCGTAGCAACTTTCAGTTAAAGTTGGAGAGTTGAAGCTCCAGATATTGAAGTAATTAAGAGGTGACGTGCAGCAGCAACAGCAGTAGCAGCAGTGGAAGTGGCAGTAACAGCAATGTAAAGTGCACCACCACTGCCACTGACACTGCCAATGTCAAGTTCAGAAGGAGTCTTTGGGACTCATTCGAACTACTATCTACAGCCCAGAGTATATAGCTCCAACTACAGATACAAATAGGAGGCACACTACCTTCGATTCAAACAGCACAGCAATTAGCTGCCAAACAAAGGCCAGTCGTTCATTTTGCTCAACTCATTGTGGGAATCAATCGCTAGCCCCAAAGCCTCAGGCTCTCAAGGCCACTCTACGTCGTCGTAGTCGTCATCGTCTAAATTGTTGGCCAAATTAGAAGTACGAACAGCGCTTAAAGATACGCTAAAATAAACCCAAAACGTAAGCTACTTTGGGCCGACAGACAGACGGACGTACGGACATTATTTTGTTGACATTTTGCTAGAGGCAGAGACAGAGGCCACAGCGAGAGCACTGAGGCATGACATCAAGGCATGCGATCGACTCTACCCCTTTTTAATGTTGGCGCTGTTTCTTGGGGCCTATCTTTGATTCTATCTATCGACAAACCCCTTGCTAATGACAACTGCAAATGTCTCTCTCTATTCTCTCTGTCTCTGTAGCGGATGCTCTCTCAATATTTGCCTCTGAATGAGACACTAAAGTGAATTATTAGTTGTGCAAATAATTGCACAGCTTGCCTCCTTGCCTGCATCACAAAAGACAGAGGGGCAAGGATGAGCAGCAGATAGCGAGCGAGGAGGGTGCGTTCCAGGGGCGACGTCAAGCAGCTTGTGGCAATATTTGGTCAATGTTATGGCTCTGGACCAAGCCGGCAAGGACCCAAGCTAAGCAAGATGGTTGTGTGGAAAGGGCAGTCCAGTAAATGCGCAGGAGAAGTGACTTCAAGTGCCCCCCGTACAGATATTATTTTGCTCATTTTCCATGGATTGGCTGATGGCTGATTCCACGATAAATTAATTGGGGAATTCATAGCCACCATTTGATTACTTTATCAGCGAAGGCTGACCCCAAAATGAGGAGAACTTTGTAGCTGTGGTGCCCCCCTCGGATCATCGTTTGCTTAAATGTATCCTCTGCTCAGGGGATCCAACCTGCAATCTCTCTCTCTCGCTCTCCACTGATTAGTTTTGTTCTCTGCTCTCATCGCACGTGACGAGAGGCTTTCCTAAGAGCGGGGCGCGACGTTGTCATTCACTTGTTAAATGCTGAAAATGAAATAATTCCCCCAACCCCCTTCCGTTGCTTTCACAAATGAGACAAAAAATATGAGGCCCCCACCACGATGACGATGACAATGACAATGATGACAATGATGATGATGAGGTTGTGCCGCACATTCCATTGCCGCTGGTCATCTGCCGTGTGGCATGTGCCATCGTGCCACCCCCCTTGGATATGCCCCCCCATTGATGTTTCTGATGTTCTGTTCTGCCGATGACGTTGCAGCCAGTCAGCATGAGATACATATATTTCTTTTTTGTTGGTTTTGTCGAGAGAGAGAGAGAGAGAGAGAGAGTGGAGGATGCGGCAGCTATTTGCATTTTACTGCCCCTGCCCCTGCCCCTGCTCCCGGCCTCAGCCACAGCCTCCTCCTGTCTTTGCACTCAGCGGGCGGGCTGGTTTATAGACATTCATTTTGGTTTAAAAAGGTAAAGGCTTTGGTTCCCCACACCCCCCCCACCCCACCCCACAGCACCCATTCTATAGGGTATCTATGCCGTATGCATGTTGTATGTCTCCCGCTGAGCGGGAAAGCAATTTAGTTCTGTTTGCGAGTTGTGTGGGCAGCCGCTCCTTGGCTCTCTTTGCTCTCCTCTCTCGGCATTAAATGCATTTCACACTCCGTTTTCGCACTCACCATTTAAATTGTGGACATTGGAAGGGCTGCGGCTGCTGCCTGCCTGTGCCTGCCTGCTGCCTGCTGCAACGTTTTAGCTTCTGTTTTAAGTCCTGCAAAAGATACAGACACGGGATACAGATGGTTAGCAATGCGATAGACAGTGTATGGATAAAATGTACAGATGGAGATAAATGTATAGAAACATGTGACCAAGAGAGGGTATGGGGATTACCAATCAAATAATTATATTATTATTATCGATTATTATTATTATTCTAGTCAGTTATCTATTATTATTATTATGTATTCTGAGTCCAGTTATTTATCGCATATCAGCTATTCATTATGCATGGAGGTCTCCCTGAATGCATTCCAAATTCTGCAGTGAATTCTGAAGTAAATTCTGAAGTGAATTCTGAAGTGAATTTCGTGGGAGCTTCCGACTGCTTGCACTCCACTTTTGCGTGCATTCCCTGGAAGACCTTGAATGTCTATCGATCTTTATCTATCAATCAGTATCTCTACATATATCAATCTATCTTTATTTTTCATTGTAACAATCTATCTTTATCTATATAAAGCAATCAATCGCTGCGGCTACTCATCGAAGTATCAATTTTTGTAGCCACTTGTCTGCCCCAGTATCTGTCTATCTTTACAAGTTTATTCCCTTTATCTATGACCATCTATCTTTAGCGATCTTCAGCGTCCACTTGAAATTATTCTCACATAAAATAAAAATAAAAAAAAACAATTTCCCCATCCTTCCCGATGGCCTGCCTCCTTCCTTCTGCTATTCTTCCGTGTTTGCCGCTGCTTCCATTTGTCCTCCACTCATCGTGTGACCCAACACGTCGCGTAGGCCTGACATAAAGGTGTCGAAGGTGTAGGCGAAGGCGTTGGAGAATAACTCCTCTCTCCATCACTCTCTGTCTCTTTGCTCTTTGGTAAGAAAAATAAAAACTCATTATTTAAAATATTTTCATTGGGATTTTGGGTTGGTTCACATTTTTTGTTCAGTGAGTGGTTCATGACCCAGAAATGGAGAACGATCTCCTCCTCCTCCCCCACTGCATGAACTCATGTCACTCCTCCTCCTCCAGCTGCCTCCACTCCTTCTGCTTCTCCCCCTCCCCCCATTTGCCTTTGCCTTTGCCCGACTGGAACAATGCAGAAGTGTATCTTTTGGGTCTCGGGTTCCCAATCTTTCACGCGGAGCCGAGTGTATCTGGTCGACTGTTTTCGGTGTCGTGGAAACGTGAAATGTACGTGCGGTCATCTGTCATGATTCTCGCGCTCTCTTCGTGGCCTACAAACCGCAGAAGTGGGAGAGTGCCAGAACGGCAGAACGGGGGGAGGGAGTGGAGATTGGAGATTGGAGAGTGCCAGAGAAGTGGCCGCGAAAGGAGGGCCAAGAGGATGGTCCATTCATTCATTCATTCATTGTCTATGTGCGTGCGCTTTGCCTTAAATGTCAATTATTTCACGCTTATTAGATTTTTGATGGCCTTCATCATGCGACAACGAACACAGACACAAACACAGACACACAGACGATGGCACTGCCATGATGATGATGATGATGATGATGAGATGATGGCCATGTCGAGAAAGCAGCTCGAAAAAAAAGGAGAGTCGCAATGACAGATATACAGATACACAGCTACAGATACAGATACACTCCATATACAGACGGAAGTAATGCTTTTTTTGTTGTTGTTGTATTTTACGGCCTTTTAATGCGATCTTTACGCGAGTGTGTGACAAAGATCTGGCATCTGGCAACCGGCAACCGGCAGACGACAGACGACATGGCCAAAAGCAGACACAATCCGTCCGATGCGTACCGTCTAGACGGCCAGTGACAATGCCTGAATAGATATGGTAGCAGACCAGCAGATGGTTGCGGATCAAGTGGGTCAGTCGGTGACGATTGCTCTCTCTCTCTCTCTCTCTCTCTCTCACTCTCCTCTCACTCTTTTTTTGCTCGCTCTGCTGTCAGAGATCTTTGAGATCAAGATCAATCCGTAAGACACTTCTGCTTTTTTTTTTTTTGTTGGAGCAGGGTGTGGTGTCTCTTCAGGCGATTAAATCGATTCAAGATCCCAATTCCGATCCCCCTTTTTGGATCAGCATTCTGTAACACTTTTTTGTGGCTGTTGTTGTTGTTGTTGTTGTTCTCTTCATAAAGACGAAAGTTGAGTGGCGATCAAATATTAAAATCAGGTCAAGATCATTTGCTGGGAGAAGTGACACGGAAATGCGTGGGAATCTCTCTTTGTCGCTGCCATTTGCTGCTTTGCTTTCTCGCCATATTAAATGATTGACAGAATGAGAATTCCCACAAGCGAAAGAGAGATTCTAAGGAGAATTTCTGGCAGCACTTTCTCTCTCATTTTTAGTGGGGGAATCAGTCGCTCTCTCTCTTTAAAATATATTCCAGTGGATGGTTCAATCGATTTCTTATTGCGAAATATATAATTGGTTCCAGGGAGAGGCATCGCTCAAATTCTCATTGGAATATAAACCACCCAGGAGCGGCACAGCATTTAATCTCTGAGTAAAAAGTGAAGCCAGAAGGAACATAATTTTATTTCTAAATGATGCAACCTTTCCACAAATGTATCTTTGTTTCTTATTGAGTTGTTTTCTCTCTTGCAGATGAGTTCAAGCTAATTTTGTTTACCTTTGTAGATCCCAGCGCTGCAGATCATTCTTTATATGGAACATATTTCATATTATTTTCCTCTCATTTCTCACTCCCATTCAAGGTTTCCGCTTTCGAACTTTAACCAATTTCCAAACATTTTCCGCGCAGATAAAATGAAGAGATTTTCAACAATAAACTAAATTGAGAAGAGCTCTTCCTCTCTCCCCCCATGGGGAAAGGGGCAAGCCAGGGGAGGGGTGACACGTTATAACGTTGTTCCTCGCCAGCGTAACGACATTTTGTACGACCCCATTTTCCCCGAAAGTCGTAATAATTTCATGAAAAACGCAGCGAAGCCAACTGCGAGAGCTGCACTTTTTTTTTTTTTTGGAAGCAGTGGAGATGATGGAAGGAAGGAGTGGAAAAGCGGTGGAGAGGAAAAGCGATGGGTGGGTGGGTGTTTGGGCGAGCCCTGGTAATGTGCCAGTAAAAGGTATTTTAACGCTGGAATTCCTCCTGTCCCCTGCCCTGTCGCCTTTCCACTGCTCGTCCTCTGCCACTCTGCTGCTGCTGCTGCTGGAAAATGAGTCGAAGGGGAAGGAAGAGCAGCAAAATGAGTCGAAGGGGCCGGGCAAGGAGTTTTCCCTCTTTGTCATGAAAAATAACTTCGCTTCGTTGAAATGACAGTCACGATTCTGCTGCTTTTTTTTCTGGTTCGCTCGCTCGCTCTTTTTTTCGGGGAAACTTTTGCCTTGTCTGCGCTTTTTTTTTTCGCTTCGTTTCTTTATGATTTCCATTCTTTATGCTAGATTTCCTTCGTGTTGTGTTGGACAGTGTAACAGACTTCTTCGCGGACAAGGACAATGGATGGGGTGTGGGCTGGGGGGTGTGCGGGGGGGATGCTGACTAAATGAAAGATGATGAATTTATTAAATTCCCCTGTCCACCCCATGGGACGGGTGCCACGGGATAGATGATGGGTGCCACCCAGAGCATGGCAGTGTCTAAGCAACGGAGACCAGCAGCAAGATGGGTGAAAAATTCGTGGGGAACACGGGCATGTGGGATGTCATTTGGCTAACAACAAAAAAAAATCAGAGAACACATAGAAAATATTGAGGAAGGTCCTTCGACTTCAAGGCTAAAATGGGGAACGAAATGGCAATGTAACAGATGGTAGAATTCATTAAAATTGAAGAATCTATCATTAAATATTCTGTCCACATGTTTAACCTTTAGTTTCATTTCCACTTTGTGCTGATTTCAGGTTTGGAATGAATCGCATCTAAGATTTCATAGCAGGGCAGAATCTACCACTGCCATTATCCCCCACCTTCACATTATTTTACCGTTTTGTTCTTTAATTTAATAATTATTTTCCATTTTACATAATTTATTTGCCAAAATTCCAAACCGTGACCATTTTGTCTCTCGATTCTCGCTAAACCTATTTATAGATATTTTCTAACTACATTATCCCCTGCTCTTTGCTTCCTATTCCCATGCCCATGTAAAAGTGAGTTTTCTCTCTCTGGCAAGAATTACGACTTCAGAATTGACAAACTTTGTTCCTAAAAGTATTCACCCCGCTCACTTCCAGGATTCCAGGAAGAAAGAAAAGCCGCAAAAAAAAAACTTCGCGTTTTTTGTGTGTTCTTTCCACACGATGCCCGAACAAATTCTTTTGCAACAACTTTTCAGAGAGGCACAAAATTACAGGTGGTGGTGGTGGTGGTGCCTCCAGTCGCCATCCGCCATCCACCATCCACCATCCACCACCACCATCCACTCTCTCTTTTGGAGGGGGCATGCAACCTCTGGCTAAACTTCGGCTGCTAATAAAGAATGTAAATGGAGCAAATTGCTAGGCCGAAAGGTGAAATTTCATAAATTTCATGAAAGGGAAACACACGATGAAGGCCCAAGGAAACAGCCCAAGAAAAGCCCAGCAGCAGCAGCAGCAGCAGCACAGAACGAACAAACCAGGGGCAGCTCTTTTGCCTAACTTTGGTCAAACAATCGTAAAAATTGCGCTGTGTCATTAATCTGAAGACCTACGCACCGCACCCATAGTGTCCCATTCCACTCGTTCCGCTGGCTCTCCGCTCTCTCTGTGTAATCTGTTGTGTGCCGCAGGCTCGACAGAAGTTTCCATATCCCCCCACAAATCCCAATTGTTGGATGTTATAAAAGCGTTTAGCCTTAATTGTTTGACGCTGCTTCTATATATTTTTCCTTGCCATTGGCTGCTGCTTTTTTTTTTTGTTCCACAACAACTTGAATACCCTCTATTAAGCGTAGCGTAATTCTGTGTTTCATTCGATTTAATTCCCTTGCATTCCATACTCATTCATTTCAAGTATTCCTTTTCAGTCATTTTATTCCTTTTAATTTTAATGAATTCCGTTTGATATTCTTATGATTCCGGCTGTGCAGCAGCACTCCTCGGTCTGCACGTTA